CAGTCCTCGCTTCCCTTTTCCCAGGCCCATTGAAGTAGAGAGATTTGCCATCGTTAAGCGTTCCACAGCCAGTTCCAACCTGGCCACCAGTTATCTTGTACCACAGAGGACTGAGCTTCCCCTCAAACCTATCGAACATCTCACTGTGATTAGGGACATTAGACACACAGGTTCCTTGTGCAGCTTCAGAGAAAAGAAGCACACAGAAGAGATGCTATGTTAAAACTGCTAAACATTAAAAGCATTTTCAGCATGTGGGAAAAGAAGCATTTCTACTATCTTAGGGGGGAAGAAGCCACATGAAAATTCGTATCTCTAAATTGTCTGTCTGAAATATAGCCATCAATATCATCATCAAAACACTATTCTACCTCTAGAGTAAAAAAAATTAATAAAGAGAAACACTGGGAACCACACATTTCCATAGTTCTTGCTACTCACAGGATTTGTGTAAACTGAGAGATAGCAAAATTTGTCCGTAACAAAATTTGCTAGTTTGTTGTTCTTCTATTAGAGAAGTAATAAGGGAAGTAAACATCAGATTTTTAAAAACCACCCCTGAAACCACAAGTGGCTAACACGTTCCACAGAGGGCCTGTAACAACAAATGTTTGTCTTTGGTCATGCATCAGATGAAGACCAGACACTGAAAAGCTGAAGGATCCTTTTGAAGTTGCCTCCAGAACAAATCCTAAAACAGATTTTGAAGTTTAGGATATTTTCTCCAGTTTTACTCTTAAATTTCAGCTTCCTTTTCATTTTTCCTCATAGCAACATCCAAAGGTAACTGTGGTCAGAAAACACTTCTCTTGTAAAGTTCTCTTTTGGCAATCTTGTATATATAATTTCGTAGTTGCATTTTTACTTTAAATGTGAAAAATTACATATATACATAAACAAAGCAATTTAAAGATCATGTAGAGGCCCTGAAGCAAAGTGATTAAGAGGTTGAGTTTTAGAGTCTGACCCAGAGCTTGAAGCTCAGTTCTAGCCAACTCCTAGCTGTGTGACCTTGACAGAGTTACTAAACCTTTCTGGGCATAAATTTCTTCATATGTAAACAGGAACGATAGCAATCCTGTGATGCAGGGTTACTGTCAGAACTAAATAAGATGAAATTAAAAGTACTTAGTATAATGCCTGATGTGTAGTAGGGCCACAAGAAATGTTAACTGTTATTAATATTAATAATTAACAAATCTGCTTTAGAGAATGAAATCTGTGTCGTCATGTTTTTCTTCCTTGTTGTTGTTGTTAGCTGCCACTGAGTCAGCCCCTGACTCACGGTGACCCTGTGCACAACGGAATGAAACATTGCCCGGTCCTGCGCCATCCCCATGACTAGTTGCAGATCACATCATTGTGATCCGTCGGGTTTTCATTAGCTAATTTTTTGGAAGTAGATCACCAGTCTTTTCTCCCTAGTCCGTCTTAGTCTGGAAGCTCCGCTGAAACCTGTTTAGCATCATAGCAACATACAAGCCTCCAGTGACAGACGGGTGGTGGCTGTGCATGAGGTGCATTGGCCGGGAATCAAACCGGGGTCTCCTGTGTGGAAGGTAAGAATTCTACCACTGAACCAACACTACCCTCTTTCTCTTCCTTAAACCCATCACCACTGAACTGATTCCAATAAAGACCCTATAGGGCAGGGCAGAACTGTCCCACAGGGTTTCCAAGGCTGTAATCTTTACAAAAACAGACTGCCACCCTGGTGGCTGGTGGGCTCAAACCACCGACCTTTTGGGTCGCAGCCAAGCGCTTTAACCACTGTGCCACCAGGGCTCCTTTCTCTTCCTTAGGCAGCTCAAAACTATAAAATATCTCAGCATTTCATGCACCTGGGTTGTAAACTCCTATAAATCTCAGGCTTAAAGAATAGTAAACTCAGATTCTATATCCTGAGGAGAAGTAACCTGAAATATAGTAAACAGAGATGAATGTTTTACACACAAACCATCAGGTACAATGTATTCAGGCTTACCGGTATACCCCAGGTCACAGAAACACACTCCTGAAACGCAGTCCCCATGGCCACTGCAGTAACTGGGACAAGGCTCAGATACATACACTCCGTCCAAGCTAAATGGAGGCACGTTTTTCTGGGAGCTGCTTTCCTGGATCCATCGGAATCTGGTTTTGCTGCTGGGAAAAACAATACATCTGTTTGTTATACTAACATCTTATACCAAAGCACTTTATAAAGTAGTTCAGAAAAATTTGAGAGATTTAATATTTATTTGAAGGTCACGCCAGCTTGCTCTCACATGTAACCTTCATAAGGTGTTTCTCTCAGATGCTCTCAAAACATCTTGATTTCTTCTTTAGCATATATGTTTCAATACCATGAGGATATCAGGTACCGAAGGCTTTTGTGTGTGTGTGGTAAATATATATGCAACAAAACCTTTGCCATTTCAATATTCTTTACATAGGTACAAAAACTTCAGAAACATATTACATATTTTACTTATATATTTTCTCCTTTAGTAATAAATAAAACCCAGAAAGATATTTTTCTTTTACAGAAATTAATTTTTACCCCTTCATTGCACTAATTTTAGCAGAAGCTATTGGATATTTTTGAAGCCATCAAATAGAATGTTCTTTGCTAGGGCATACTTGGGGAATCTGGTTTTTTGCCATTGGCATGATTCTGAAAGGGAAGAGTAAGTTTGTACTGACAGCTCTCCTCCCACTTGTTGCCTTCCTCTCCTTCCTCTTTCTCTCTCATCTTTAAATCTCCAAGACACTCATTCTATGTACTCGTAGCAACCAGCTGAGCTGCCAGTGAACACTGGTGACTACCAACGGACAAAAGAGAGACCTAGTGGCATGCTTCAAAACCCTGGAAAACCAGTGGACTAGGCTGCTGCCCAGTTCTTCTTGCCCCAAAACAACAGTTTTTAGGCTGCCAGACTACAACTTGCCCCAGTCACTGTTTAGCCTTTTCCATCCTTTCAACACATCTCTTTTCTTTTCAAATATACAGGAACTCATACACATTTATAGTTTTATACCAGGAAAATTACCTCTTTACTCTCAGGTCTAGTGAAATCAAAGAAGGAAGATGATTAGGATATCTAGATTCTAACTAATTTTGCTGCCAATATTTATAGACTTTTGGATGAATCTTAGTAAGCAAGGGTGAAGAATTTTAAAGATTAATGAAGACTGTCAAGGATAACTGTAGACAAAGATGGTTCCTTCTCTCTTCTATTATTGTGAAAATCATATGGTAGTATCAGAATGCATTTTGTTTTGGCTCTTTAAACAGCTTTGGTAATTTGGCAACACTGAACCATAACGCTGGCTTTCTTTTCTTCATTATTTTAAATTACCCACTCTTGGAAAATTTGTAAAATTTAACTGACAAAGTTGTTTACTAGGTTTAAAAGTTTTCAGAGATTAAAATCAAAACCAAAACAAAACGAAAAGACCCAAACTCACCGCCGCTGAGTCGATTCTGACTCATAGTGACCCTATAGGACAGAGTAGAACTGCCCCATGGGGTTTCCAAGCAGTGGTTGGTGGATTCGAACTGCTGACCTTTGGGTCAGCAGCCGAGCTCTTAATCACTGCACCACCAGGGCTCCTTTCAGAGATTATTTGCCTATTAACGTAAGCCCTAGTTTCAGGCTATTAAGAGG